ATTACTTTTTCATTCCTTTATCTTTTACTTCCAATACTGCCGATTAAGAGGTACTTCCCAGTAAACAAGAAACATCTGTGAAACATTTCAATTTTAACGTACAGTGAATTAAATGAAACATCTTAGAACTACGTTTCATATACGTGACAGATACGATTTTTACGAAAGGTATCTAAAGATATGTATCAAATACATTTCAGTAGAAATATTTATGAAATATCATTAAAATATGTAGCAGAAACATTTCATTTGAAACATTTCGCTACAAATGTGTCTGAAACATGTCTGAAATATCTTCATCAGCGCCTGTGAACGTATGCGCATGTCCCAAGCCGCGGTGACGCGTTAGCGTCTTGTCACATCTTGTTCAATCTTGTTCTAGTGTTCTGTTCTCAGGGTTCTCAGTTCGAATCAATTCGAATCGTTCGAATATTGGTTTAGAATGGCGCAGGTAAGTTTTGTATAAGTTTTTTTATATATCACCACTAGATTTAGTTAATGAAAATACGGCTGGTGAACACTATTTAAAGAAAGAATTTTACGTTTTCATATATTTTAGTGGCAGTTAGGGAGAGCTTCCATTTAACTGATAAAGAATATGAAGTGGTAGTAAGCAATTGGTTACGACAAGCGAATTTACGTTATAATAGGCGAAATAAGGAAACCGCAGATGAGACACGATAATAATAAAGAATATTGTTATTTTCTTTTAGTATTCTTTCTTTCGTCTACTCGTCGCAATACTGAAAACGTAGTGCAAGAATCGCAGCTCAAATATGAAACAAATTTAAAAATTTTGTGATGCCATTTCTCCATATACAGGTGGACCATTTAATGTGAGACAAGCGATTATCTCGAAAACGGTTTATTTTACATAAAAATGAACCAAATGAAAGTTCTGTGCGAAGGGGGAAACCATATGACGATAACATTTTTTGATCTTGACCTTATTTTCAAGGTTATATGAAAGTCACGACCAATTTTTTAAATGACACCCTATATATTTTATTGTAGAATCTGAATCTGTAAATTAAAAAAATGTACTGTTGGGTTTTGTCAGTACAAAGGCAAAACATCTTTTGAAAAAAATTGAAACTTCTTCAGAAACAATTAACTAACGTTTATAATCTAGCAAGAACAAATAAAATTTATGAATTTTTAACATTTTCCAACCTTTCGATACATTGTCTTTAGTTCTTAATTCTTAGAATACTATTTAAGAATGCTCAACAACTTTGGCTCAACACCTTTGGAAAGAGGTCTAAAAGGTTCCGACATTTCTCCGCCTTTGTCAATTTGATAATAGATTAACGCATAAAAAACAAGAGTTCGTGGAACTGCTTATGTCGGCATTTTCAGAATATCGCTTTCAGAGACTTAATTGGTTGAATTGTTTTAAAATTAACAGGTAACACTAAATTTGCATAAAAACTGCTTGGCAACAAATTCTGAATTCTTTCCATCGTTTTACATTAAGGCAAAGTGTTTAAACTAAGTCATCGTTTTACATTAAGGCAAAGTGTGGCAGAAAAATTCGAAGTGATTTTTATTTATGGAGGAAGTGGCAGAAATGTTGCTGATAGTATAGCTTTGTATCAAGAACGTTTTCCTGATCGAAATACGCCTTCGAGAAGTACCTTTTACAGAGTTGTGAATGATTTTACTAACACTGGAAATGTGGTATCAAGAAAAAGAACTCGGCGAGCAACTGTAACTACGGAAGAAAAGAAAATTGCGGTGTTAGCTAGCGTTGAGGTAAATCCTCAAGTTAGCACTCGACGACTTACAATTGACACCGGAATATCGAAGACCAGCATTTTAAGAATATTAGAGCGCAACAAGTATCACCCATACCACATTTCATTGCATCAACAGCTTTATGGAGCTGATTTTGAAAATCGATTAATATTTTGTCAATGGGCACAAGAACGAATGCGGATGGACGTCAATTTCTTAGGTAACGTGCTATTCTCGGATGAGTCTACTTTTACAAACAAAGGACAAGACAACAGACATAACATGCATTATTGGAGCGTTGAAAATCCGAGATGGTTGCGTGAAGTAGAACATCAACGACCTTGGTCGGTTAATGTTTGGTGTGGTATAATTGGTGATAAATTGATCGGTCTATACTTTATTGATGGTATGCTGAATGGGGAGAAGTACCGAAATTTTTTAGATGACGTCTTACCAACGTGACTTGTAGATTTGAGCAGGGAAGAAAGACAAAATATGTGGCTGCAAAATGTTGGGTGTCCAGCACATTTTTTCCAACAACTTTCATTTGGTTCATTTTTATGTAAAATGAACCGTTTTCGAGATAATCGCTTGTCTCACTAAATGGACCAGCCTGTATGTATATTTTATGTAGTTTTGTACTTTTATGTAAGTTATCCAAATTTTAGTAAAATTTCTTAATCTTGAACAATCATAAAAAAATTTTCGTCTCAAATTAAAGACTATGTTTCAATTAAAACACAATAATATGACTACAAGTAAAGAATACCTATTTATTTAAAAAAAAATCATATTGCTATAAGTGAGACCACATGTTGTAATATTCGTTTTATCAAGAAAAAAGTGTCAGTATTACAAAATAAGAAAAACAAAAAAAAAACAATTCCACAATTGTAGTACATCTTTTGTGGTACATTACTTGTTTTATTGTATTATCTGACATACAAATTGTCATGTAACTGTTTTTGGTCAGTTATTTTGTAATACTGATAGTTTTTCATAGTTAAACATCACAAATAAAGAAAAACAAGGAAAAATTTCTTTAGGTTATTCAAACATAAACAGAGATAAAAAAAATCAAAAATACCACTAACATGGCTTCAATTTAACTTTATATTTAAATGACCTACATAAATTATTATTAGAATGTTTATGTTTAATTTGTTTACAAATAAGAATTTTATTTTAGTTACCAGTTTAATATATTTTGTATAAATATATACTAACTATATTTAATGCATACCTACTCTTATACTTACTTTATTTGTCCTAATCAATGAGAAAACAGAATCGTAGAAATTATTGATGGATAATTTTGAAATTTGGTACAGTAGGCGTAAGTAACAAGTATAGTACTTCTATTATTAGTTTTTCTACCTTAAGGTATGATTTTGTTGCAGCATCCACTGTCTGCGCCCCGGGTGGTATGGTCAGAAATGCTTCCTGAGCATATGCATATCTTCTGAGGAAGCATGTATGAGCATGTTGTCTGGAATGCAGATGCTAAACGCCAACAAAATTATGTCTTCAGGTTTTCTGAAACGTCAACGAAACCTTTCAGAAATTACATTTAAATGTTTATGATACATACTAGTAATGTAATGTAAACGTAAACAGAAATAATTCAAAACCGTTAATGAAACATTTTAGTAATGTACCGTAATTGTCAACTGTATGTTGCAGAAACATTTCAATAGAAATGTTTCAATGAAACATAAAAAGGGCCCGACATTAGCAGTTTCAGACACGTTTCAACTATGTTTCAGAAATATGTCGAAGAAACATTTCATGTTTCAATAATATGTATCAGCAATGTTTCTGAAACACAAATTTGTTTACTGGGTTTCTTCCAAGTTCTCATGAGGCATTGTGCGTCCGCCATTATTTAGTCTTTTTAGTCTTTTAGTCTTTGTATTCTGCCACTTAAGAGCCTTTTTGACATTCTATGCTTGCTCATTCATGCCATATGACTAACCCATAGCAGTTTTTGCAGCTTGACGAATTCTGAGATGGAAGCTTCCAATACTGCCGATTAAGAGTTACTCTCTTCCTAGTTCTGATATAGTTCTGATATAATCTTGCCTAGTATTCTGCTGCTTAAGACTCGTTTTGGCATTCTATTCTTGCTCATTCGTGCCATATGACTAGCCCATTGCAGTTTTTGCAGCTTGACGAATTCTGAGATAGAAGCTTCCAATACTGCCGATTAAGAGTTATTCTCTTCCAAGTTCTGATATAGTTCTGATATTCTCTTGCCTTGTATTCTGCTGCTTAACACTCGTTTTGGCATTCTATTCTTGCTCATTCATGCCATATGACTAGCCCATTGCAGTTTTTGCAGCTTGACTAATTCTGAGATAGAAGCTTCCAATACTGCCGATTAAGAGGTACTCTCTTCCAAGTTCTGCCGCTCATGAGTCACTTTGATCACTTTGTCTTTCCATCGTTTTCGCCTCCCTCACGGTCTCTTGTCTTGTATTCTGCTACTTAAGACCCTTTTTTGGCAGTCTATTCTTCCTCATTCATCCCATATAACTNATATCATCACTGTTGTCTTCACTAGCAAGAACATGGAATCTATTTTGCGCTAAGAGATCTGGATTAAAAGAATATCGTTTATGAATGTCATCTTCTAGAGGTGATAACTGATCGGATCCTCGTTTTTCGCCCATACTAGATTCGGTCGAAAACACGCCCGCAGGCGGCTTTCCTTAAATATATTGCTTTCGATGATTTATTATTTTGTTAGATTAATTAATAATATATATTAATAATACACGATTGATTTTGTGAAACGAAACTGGTTATGAGACTCGCGATACTTGTTTAGAACACGTGCACTCACTTTGACCGTCCGAATTCAACTCGAATCAAAGTTTAGCCTATTTTCCGCTATTTACTAGGAATTCTGGGTTGAAACTTCAACTTGTTCAGATATCTGCAGTTTCCATTGCCTCATTCCCCAAGTTCCCGAGTAAACGTTTTATTTTGTTTGTCTTTTTGTGTACTAGACGTTGGCGTTGCTGCGATTTATCTAATTAAACATACATTTAATCGTGGATATACAATTTATTATTCTTACCAACAGTATACATTCAATAGAATACATTTTTCACTTTAAAATGATCGACATTTATTATTAACTTATTGTATTATTGATGTGGATCTTGAAAAATTCACTTCTACAAAAATATTAAATAGTCAATAATGAAAAAAAAAATACTTATGTACAAATATAATAAACAATTAATAAAAGTAAATAATAATAATAGCAATTTATAAAAAAAATCATTTTTTTCATTTAAACAAAATTTAATCCTTTTTATTTCTTTCCAACACAACTTTGCCAAGCCAAACCTCCACAAGCCATTGAAACAATAAGATAAGTAATAACAACCACAGTAACTCCTATTATCACATATAATTTAACACTTTTCCAAAACATTGAACGTTGTAAATGACGGCTGGTATTTCTAAAGGTTACAGCCTACAAAAAATAATTAAAAATTAAAGTATTAATAACTAAAAATATTAACTTAAATAAAATATTTACATTATTACTTAAATTCTCAGTTTTATTTACTAAAAGCTCCAGTCTTTCCCCCCTCATTGCAATATTATCTTAAAAATGACAAAATTATTCATAATACAATTCTTGTACTAATTAATTTACCTATATTTTTAACCATAATATCTTTTAATTCATCCAACTCCCCATGAACTTTTGATATGGTATCCAAATCTCGAGATTCCGAATAATGTGTCATTTCAGTTGATAAAACACGAGAAAATTCCGCATTCATAGCATAAGGCATAACATTATCGATAGTGTAACCATAAGAAGCTTGAAATCTTCTTTTGATTTCATTCAAAAAAAGAAATGCTCTTGATCTTTCAAATTCCTAATAAAAATGTTAATGTTAAATGGTTAATCAATAAAATTCAAAATAACGTTTAGAAATTATTTACATCATCTGAAATACACATAAAAATAACACCATTTTCGCAAATATAATGAAATAAATAGTTGCTATGCGAATAGGTTAACTTATCGTTGTGTTGAGGGATTTTCTCGATAATTTGAGATGTAACCTCCGCAAAATTGCCAGCGCAAGCTGCATATTTTGCAAGAACTATCGTCCCTTTTGTTATTACGCTGTATAAAATCGGCATCTAAAAAGGATAATGAAACCTTATTAAAACGATAAAGAACAATAACTAATTACAACTCACCTCGAAATTTACTTTCTACATAAGACGGAAATTAGAAAGGATGGAAAGGCGTTTAACAGCTTCCTTTCGATAAATAATATTATCAACAAATGGAACAATAATGAAACAGCGATGACACACTGCAAAATATTTTTTGTGACTGGATTGTTGTTGTTAGTTGTCAAAACAGATGATAAATACAGGTTTCTTTAGAATGTTGAGGTTATTCTGAATAGATGGTGCTGTAGTAAACGTCAAAATTTTAAAAATATCTAATTTCTATTTTACTAACATTTTAGCTTTGTTCGTAGGAACTGCACTTTGATTATACAGGATAATAATAACAATAATATTTATTGTCATAACCCACATACTTTACATATTTAACATAAAAAAAAATCAAACATGAATATACAAAAAAAAATTTACAAAAGCAATATACTGAGTGTACAAAAAGTGTGGAATAATGGTTCTACAGCCTAAACTTCAACTTATATTAAAAATAGTTTTAAATAAAAGTTACTTGAGACTATTTTCCGCATATCTTGGTGTAAAAATAAAATAAAAATGATGACGGCAGTTTGAGTTATGACATGGTGAGTGTTTTTTAAATGGAACATCCTGTATATTTTAAGGCTTTTGGATTCCTTTTGACAATGTGTTTCAAAATGCCATAGGGTTTTAATGCTTTAAACTGCATAGTTTTCGAGATATTCAAACTTTTATTTAAAAAGATTTGACGTTGCTACAACCAAATTATGGCGTCATTATGGGATTGTTATGTGTGTTACTACGGTAACGGAGACAGTTTCCGCCCGAATTTTAAGTTGATTTCGAAAAGGCCTTAGTTGTAGATATTACATAAATAAGGACATGGGTAGTTACTACATTTAATTGCAACAAATAATAATTAAACAATGAAATTTCATAACGAACAATAAAAAAAAATAAAACAAAAACGGTAACAATATTAAATTAAATGTTCAAAATGTT